ATATAGAGGGTATCTTACTATTATATTTATTTAATAAGTAAACAATCAGACGGCAAGCCTGCATCAGGAAATTGATGCACCCTATTGTGGTAATCCGTGCCTCGTGTACGGCTCCTGCACTACGCTTAGATAGGGAACTAACCTCCAACGTCTGTCATAAAAAGCCTTCTTCCAACGTCATTGTCTGTCCCCTTCTTAGTCCAATACTCTCTACTCTCATCATCTCTATCCACAAGCCCTCCTCTACACCCAGTCGCCGCCCCTTCCCCATACGGCTGAACCATCCTTCAAGCGGCAATCTTCTCACACCCGGCTGCCAGCTTGGAAGAATCAGGCCGCCTTGCTCTAGTGCCCCTTTATCTCTCAATTGCCCGCCTCTCTCAGAATTCTTCGGCCCTGATGGAATCTGGTTACCCCAGTCTTTGCACAGGCTGGGCTCCGACAATTCACGCATCTCTGAACTTCTCGCCGCAATGCAACACACAGTAATAGCAACGAACATACAAGCAGAATATCTATCGTACACTATGCACTGGCTTCATCTGGAGCACATCCACGGTTGAAGGAGGGGCGTTCGCCCCTCGCCAGGTTCAGTCACTTACGCAGCTGATTGATTAACCTATTCGCTTTCTCCTTTTTCTCCGGATCACTGAAGCATCAGTGCTTCTGCAACGCACTGCCTCACGCATAGCTTGATTAAGGCAGTCTGCATGAGATTCCATGCCGTAATCTCAGCTCTGGCTACTCTGCCTCCCACACCTTGCTCCTTCGGTGGAGCGTACCATCCAATTTGCCTCGTTAGGACGCGTCATGCCCGAGCGGGCTCTCTCCTTCTTGGATATGATTTCTCACTCGCATATGACGCTAGTATTGCGCTCAGGGATCCATATTACTTCGCCACGCATAACACGTCCGTAATGCCTGTAGTGTTGCATTGTTGTAGTGCGACAAGCAAGGGGCAGAGGTCAGAAGACAGCCCGCTGGCGGCTCGGCATCGCCGTTGGCGTAGCAAGTGAGAGACGAGTAGAACCCTGACCGCATCCTGCTCTGGCTAGAAAGACACAGTTTCCGGTCAATGGCACTCATGTCTCAGCTCTGGCCACCCAACATTGCCTCCTTCAACTTTCGGTCCTTCTACACAACACGCTGGCCAATCTGAGCTTAGTTATCTGCGGTCTGCAAGAGCTAGATTTATTAGCGATGACGCGGTCAAACGATTTTTCTCTCCTTTGTAACGCTGCAGTGTGACCAGCAGGGAGCGTTTGCATAGACGCCTGCAGTCAATAGCTCGGCGTTGGTATTCGAGTTAGCATGGACTACGAGGAATGAGTACAGCCGTTTCCGCCACCGTTTTGGCGGAAGGTAGAGCGCCATCCAATGGATAGCCTTCATGCTCGTGTCTCAGTTCTGGTTCCCGGCGTCGTCACTCGCACTCCTTCGGTCAAATAGATATCACGACCACTCCCTCTAGTGTGATTGGTTCTTCTAGGAACGGACCCGCTTATAGACTCATACAAACCCTTGGAGGCTTTCGCAGTAGCAGTAGAGTCAAGAGTAAGACAGCGTTAAATGGAGAAGATCGCGCCGGGGACACCGAGAATAGCCTACTGCAATCGATTTAGCGTTCTGAGCTAGATGTTTGCTCACTTAGAGAGTTCTCTAGCTTACCAAGTAGTTTTCTACTTAAACCCTCAGGTACTACACTGTTTTTCGGCCAGAGTCAATCAGATTCTATTAAGATCCCATCATGGCTACTTTTACTTCAGTTCCTCAGAAGACTTCATCTAAGTTCAGACATTACAACCCTACGTTGCTCAAGCATACGCAATCTAAGCCTAGGGCTAAGAAGACCGTAAAGAATGATTATAGAAATCATGGAGAAGTAACGACTCAATCTTTAGGATTGCTGGTCTAAGGTAATGCTTGCTCCCTAGTCGTGCAAGCGAATCAATGCGGACTGAGTCATATCTAGAAAACGAAAGCAACCTTCCCGCCGTCCCTCAACAGACACTCCAGGTACAGACAACAGGCCATGTGGAAGATGTTGACGGCATGGACTCAGAAAAGTGCGACCTGTTTGGAGTAAACCATAGAATAGGCACCCATGGGTTTTCAATGGGCGATAGTCACTATCAGCTTCACCGTGAGTTGTGCGATGAGGAAGTTATGGACCACGCAACATTGGGGTTAGACTTGAATGAGTCGTTTCATGGGGACGGTCGAGGCAAGTACTCAAATTGATTGTGGTGCTGATTCCATTAATGCCGGATAGACTTACATTCGATTACCGAAAGTGCCGCGATTGGCAATAATCACAACGGTTCTCCCAATGCTCAGGATAAAAGCCAGTATCTTACCACTGCCAATTGTATGGACCACGCCAAACAGCGCGGTGATCTCCATACAGCTGTAGAGTACGCTTTCTCTACAGAGTATGTTGAAGATACTTATCATGGTGAGTTGAATAATCTGATTTGTACAGGGAGCCGTGTTGACACAGTCAAAGAAGGACTCACAGTAGAGGAAGAAATGCCCTCCAGCATCCCTAGTGTGGTGAATGAATCGTCAAAAAGCCAAAAACGATCGCATCAATCTTCGGTTGCTGATGACACAATAACAATCCTGGAAGCAGTGCCGGACGTTGTGCCGGATCCAGAGCTTGATAATCCTCACCCATCGAAGCGGCAAAGGATGGCTGAGCGACAGGCACCGAGCCCCATAATCGAGCCTACAAATATGCCTGAACCAACACTGCTGCATGTTTGCGACCAAACTTCCTGTATTAGTACTAGTGACAGCTATATTGATAGTCCTCCATGTGCTGGCCATGAAGAAGATCGTACCATTAGTCTAACCCTCCCTCTGACTGATCTCTGCGATGAACAACACCGCGACGGCACTTATGTCCAGGGAGCAATCAAAGAGCGACTACAAGCACAAGAATACATAATTCTTCCTAAAGAACTAGAGTTAGGAGAAAATGTCAACCGAGAATCCAGCAGGCGTGGGGTAAGTGGACAAGGCAGTTGTAGCAAGACTGGGGAAATCTATGGAGAGAAATCCAGCCATAGTGAGGCGTGCGACATGCCTCTATTGAGATCTCAACCGCGCAGGCACAGGGTTTGGACGCCTGAGATACGACGCAGGCCATCCAACACTGCTCTTAGAAAATTGGACTACAATGCAGTACCTACGAGGCCAGCGCAACAAGGAGAGTTAAGCCAACCACAACAAGATTCAATATCGGAACGACTCGATATCAATGCAGGGTCACAAGCTTGTTTCCCAGTGTCGAATTCTTCAGGCGCGACGGCTGAAGATAATATCAATGTCGATTACAAATCTGGATTTAGCATGTCTTGTCAGATCACTGATCTAACACTTTACGCTATTCCAAATGACTCTTCAGTCGTGTCAGCAATATTGCGCCATTGTAACCCGAGTCGTTTTCTCGATCTAGTAGCACTCGGTCACAAGGTCCTCGGCGAACAAGGCAAAGTTATCCGCATGACCCAGCTATCACCAAATTCATGGGTGCTGCTAGGATACCAGTGTAACGGCAGTGCTGCAGACCCCTGGGATCGCGGAGGATTCAAGGCGAATTGGATGAGCAGTGCCCATGATGACGTTGCTAGTCATGGAACGGACCGCTCAAACGATGGCTATGACGAAGAGGATGAGAATGGAGACGAGAATACGAGAGGACACAGCCAACGGACGCACAAGCGATGGCTAGAGTCAGAAGAAGTACTTTTACTCTCATTAAAGGATAAACAGGGCATGGAGTGGGAAGAGGTATGTCAACGCTTCCCTGACCGGTCGGCGGGTGCGGTAAAATTGCGCTACTACACATTGAAGAAACGCTCGTAGAGTTATGCCCATGTTAATTAGTCTAGTAGCTCGGATTTATGTTCGGATTGTGCAGCATAGAGTAACATCCTTCAATCATCTAAAACTTACTTGAAATCTGGGGGACTTTCTTCGCTGCTCAGTGGGCAGTGGTTGTCGATTTCATCGCAAGCGAAGCATTCTAGGTCTTTCTAACTATTACCATTCTTTTGCGAACAATATGTAAAGCTTTTGGTTCAACTGATAGCAAGGTCTAGATTGATTAAGAAGGCGTGCCAGGAGGGGTTGCCCTTATCCTCATTCACCATAAGGTTGTTCGGAGAGATATCGCATTGCAGCATGCTGACCCATATATACAGCGACTCGTATCCTGTGATACAGCCTTCTAGCGTAGCCAAAAGGCTAGTCCTAGAATTCGCCATACATATAGGCTTCCTATAGTCTCGGACAATAACGCGGCGGTGCGCTCGATCCACTATTGCCCTTCCTCCCTTTACAGGAGAGCTCGAATAGGTTCGCTTGCTAGGTGGTAAAGACGTGTTCGTACAACTCGAGGATCGCTTCCGTCCAGCGGCGCTGCTGATTCGATCTTTTCTTAAGAGTGAGAGAACTGTGCTTGGGTATGATATTATGTTTCGTTGCCTGTAGTTTGTCGCTTTCGTTGTATCAAGACCTTGTCGCACGTTCCCGCCGATGGCGTCGTCCTGCGTACCCGCACGAACCGTCTCATGGTGATAGTATCTCGCCCTATTAACTACGTCCATCTCGGTTGCCTCGCGCAGTAACTCGCCCTCCTCATCGCGCGCTCTTTGCTACTTTCCCGCTAATCTCAATATACCGCTTGTCGTCAATGGTAATGATCATTGGGTCAAATCCTAACTGCTCCTCGTTCAGGCAGAGAAACCCGAGCACTACAGACACGAACTGCAGCCTATCCTTGTGAATGTCGAATTGCTTAGAGGTGATGCCCCCGAGACGGTCGAATGGCTATAGCCACATCAGAGATCCACAGAGGATAAAGCCAAGAGCGAAGCGGCGGCTGTCTTGCGCGGTGAGCACCTCTCTCGTGTATTGGCCTAGGTTGAGCCAAGCCTTCGACGCCTTGCAGGCTGACGGATCGCTCTTGAGCTCTCCAGGTACGAGCATATGTGGCCATCAACACTTTGAGTTCACGCCGGCGATCGGGCCATCCAATGTTCACTATGAGATCAGCCCTGGTGCCTCGCAGAGGCTGCCGCCGTTGGGTTAGTAATAGAGAGGGCTGTCTCCTTCCTAATACTTGTCGAACACGGCCTGTACCACCCATCTCCAATCTGACACATCCCCAGAGGACGCGCTAAAGAAGCCGGGTATGCTAATGTGTAGGTGTCCTAGCTCCTCCAGCTCATCTTCGATGTGTTTGCGGTGTTCCATCGAGTTCGCGAAGCTCCCTATATTGATGGAAATTTTGTTCATTAGAGAGATGGCAGGGCGGAGTGGAGGCATCGATTTGGCAACGGCGTCGCAGACTGCGTTCCGAATTATGTTGAGAGGCTTGAAGGATTTGACGAGCGGATACGAGGGTGACCAAATAATCCTGGATCTTTATGTAAATACCGAAGGAGGGCTTCAGAAGAACTCATCTACAACGCCTATATAGAATCAAGAAAGGTGTGAAAGAGATCTAATTCTCCAGCTGTTAACTTTGACCGCATTCTGGAACATTCGCTAATGAATGGTGGTGACGTCACGCGTGTGGTCGGTCATGAGTTGCGTGCTTTAAGGAGGATAGAAAGAGTTGAAAGAGATGCGCAAAGTGATAAGTAGCAGATGACCAGTGTAGCTGCGAACGCGCGACCAAGGGCACGCTTGGCGCAATGGCGGCACACCAAGAAACTGGCTGGTCTGTGCACAAATGGCGCAGTTCCAAAACTCACTAGTATTATCAATGGCTTTGCCCTCGCTCTCGTTTTTATTGATTTATCTCTCGTCTTCCCCAAGCTGTTTCAGAAATCGAAGCTGCCCACTTCCTCTTATCTTCCGAATTTTCTCCTCACTGAGGTGGGGAAGGGTCGATAGCCGTTGGAAACCACTACGACTACTCGCAGACCTGTTCTGATGGTTTCCGGGGGGTTTGCAACACTTGACTTTCTGCTGTCTGTCGACTGCGCATGGACACGTGGCAAGAATAACCCGAATGCCGACGGTTATCCAAAAAACGATCCCCTAATCTTATGAAGCGATTTGGCGTTGAGGATAGAATTCCGTTACTTCCGCTCCACTATTGCGTATCGCAGGTAAGTATCATATCCAATATATGTAGCAAAAGCAGGAGAAATATCTAAACATGTCAAGAACACATCGCTCGCAAGCTCTTCTTACACAACTGTGTCCACAACAAGCCCCCTTATCCTCGATATGGCCGACCTCATCCAATTTCCACGAGGATTCGGACAACAAGACATTATTGGCTGGGGTACGACGGGCTTAGTCTGTCTTGATGCGGCCGACAAAACCGTTATCAAAACTCCTCATGATGATGAGAATCGCCGCAGAGTTCAGGTAGAACAGGCAATATATGAGCGGTTCGATCAGCGCGGCGGGCATAGCGGACTATTGCGATACCACGGCCCATATGATTCAGGTATCCGTCTTGAATTTGCCCCAAATTGGAACCTCTCATCGTTCCTGCGCAAACACCCTGAGATTGGAACTGAACAAAGACTACGCTGGGCGCGTCAGGTCACCGATGCTCTTTGTTTTGTACATGCTGCAAACGTTATTCATGGAGACTTGACTTTGGACAACGTCTTGTTAACTGAAAATCTTGACATAAAGCTTGCAGATTTCGGTGGCTCTTCTCTGGATGGCTCTGATCTGCTGGTTTCCGTACATGCCAGTCACAGGTACCCTGGACCCCTACTATCTACTCATGCCGACATCTTCTCTCTGGGTTCTGTGTATTACACCATCATGACGGGAACCTTTCCATATCAAGATCTATCGGACGAAGACATCGCGGCTTTGTTCAAACAAGGCAGGTTTCCTGAAACAAAAACATATGGACCGTTTGGGGCCATTATCATGAAATGCTGGCAAGTTGAATACCAGAGCGTCATGGATTTGTATAAGGATATTGAAGGTATGAACGTCATATACATGCACGAGTTAATTCTAATAGTGCATAGAATTCAGCCAGGGCAAGTCGACTTCTACAACCAGCATAACAAATTCTTTTCAGCCACCGTTTTCTCTCCTACTCTTTACAATTGGGATTGTTGCGATTGTATTGGTTTCAAACCCCAAGGCTCGGATCTGGGTTTAAGACAGACATCTCGGACATGGCCCTGGCCGCTTGGAAGATCCAAGCTGAATCGGCAGTCCATTCAGACCTTTCGCAAGACTTGCCGCTTCACCGCAATTGAATGCAGTACCTTTATGTTCATCACAGTTGCTGTTACTGTATTTAGTCGTTGTGATGACGTGTTTTATTGGTGCTGTGCAGTCGTCGAATGTGGTTTTGTATTCGATATATGTGCATTTTGGCATTCTTCTATGAAGTTAATTATTACCGTTAACCGTTTTACGCGGAAAACCTACGTTGTATTGTTGAGAATTGGAATGTCTCTATTAGATTCTGAATCACTGGACGGAGACGGCAATGTTTGCTTCGCAATGGAATTAATACTTATGAAGCAGATAGTTTGAGTCGTCAATAATAGTCGCGATCCGGCATGTATTATGCTAGATTACATCCAAAGGTAGTCAGCATGTTAGGATCAGATGTGATATACATTTACCTAGACTGCTGCCTAGATCGCATGGGTCAGTTTTAGATGTAAGTCAGACTTGCTAACGCATACTTGCATAAAGACTAGGAAGGGATGAACGCCCTCAGGGTATGGACAGCTGCACGTCTCTAGAAGGATTTAATCGATCATATCAATTCTCACCTCAACAAGTTCCATTGGGTCCGTTAGTTTGATTGTCGCATCCTTTCAGGCATTGACCGGTCTACACATGTGGCGTCTGATCATGGACAGGCTTATTTGAGGGAAGGTGCGAGGCATATCACCATGCCCATGGTGATTCAAACTATGCCTAGTTGATCTTAAGGCAAGCATTCTGTGCCGCATGCCTTGGCACAACATGTTGTTCCGCGACACTGCCATGGCATTCATGAATTAGTCTAAGTAGTATTAACGGATTGTGGAATCTTCAACGTGCGAAGTGACAACGCTAGGGATTTGACTTGCCAGGAGTTTTGCTCTTTGTGGCTCTGTAAACATGCGGGGTTAGCCTAATTAGCCATACCAATACCTAGTCTTTAATCAGCCTGCTTATGCAGCACTGCCACATAACTAGTTAGCCAACTTCTATGTAGCGCTAATAATACCGCTTCCTTGTTGTTCTATCGTCGTTTCTTTAGCGCTGCATTAGCGCTATATTAGCGTTTCTATCGTGCTTTGGTATTAATAATGATTAGCCCCTATTCTATTACAATTTCGTCTGCACTTCGTCTGCACTTCGTTTGCGCTTCGTTTGCACTTCGTTTGCACTTCGTCTGCACTTCGTCTGCACTTCGTCTGCACTTCGTCTGCACTTCGTCTACGCTTTATCTACATTTCGTCTACGCTTTATCTACATTTCGTCTACGCTTTATCTACGCTTCGTCTACGCTTTATCTACGCTTCGTCTGCACTTCGTCATATCAGTATGATGGAATACTCTGAAGTTATTGAACAACTTGAGAAGAAAAGGGTTACCTTTGAGAATGATACGTACGACAATCCTACACCCCGAGATGTTAAGCGTTGGAAGACTACAATGCATGATGACGCTTCCCAATTGTCCAGTGGTCGCAAGAGCATCCAATCTCGAGCGCATAAGCTGTCAAAACGCATTCAACAAGAGCTTGACGAAGGGGTTTTATTACTCGTACTTTCCCTGAAACCTCGCGCCGAGTTAGCTAAGATACAACAACGACCTTTTCTTGATGCACTTAAGAAATGGTGGGAACAAGTTAGCCATCCTCATGCACTCAAAATGGTTGCTTCAGATTGTTTTCAACTACCATATACTGAAAGAGCGGTTGATTTGGGAGTCACTCCATCAACATCCATCGTTCAAAGTGCGGCCGCTGCATTTGGTGCGTTAATCTGCTTTGAAAAAGTCTAGAGCTAACACATGGCAGAGGTCGCAATATGGGATGCCGCACGAAGCATACCTAGCTCGGAAGCCCGAAAGGCGTGGGTCAACAGCGCCTACTCTCATTTGACTTTGTTAAAGCAACTCAACTACGACACTACGAACAATGGAGAAAATGCCAAAGTAGCTATCATGGCAGACCTGGATGTAATGGAACGATACGTGGGGAATCGCCTTTTCAATGCTGCCCAAGCTAGCCGGATGAGGATTGGGGAACAAACCAAGCTCACTAAAGCATTTTCTCTATACCTTGCGCGCGACTCTGGTGAGGACTTTGTTTTAGAGATTTGGATGTGCTCTATACATGGCCTTTCGATTTTGGAAGAAGAGAGACGTATGACATCAGTCGAAGATTGGAAGACGGTACTGGGAGAGTGCCTCTATTTAGCAATGGCGACCAGCAAGTCTAGAAAGATAGAGGAAGATATTGGAAATCCAACAACTGAGGCTGTAAAGCTGTGTTTTCCAAATGGGGATAATTACGATAGTAAGTTGGAAGTGAAGATAAATTTTGACACAGGTCTTACGATCTGGAATGAAGGATTTCCCTAGTTCCCCCGAACTAATTTGAAATTCATTTTGTTGACAATCACGCTTCGACCTCTAGGTAAAAGAGCGTCAATTGTATCTATGCGTGCGTTTTGTTGTGTCATTTCCCTAACACCAACACTTATTCTACCGTCACCAGCCTTCCAAGACATAAGTCTGTCGTAATCGACTGCTTCGAATATACGATAATCGATTTCTTCGTAATCTCCATTGGAGGTTCTTTCAGCCTAGCGTGCTGTCAGTCAGGGTTTGGATCGGGCGCTTAGCTTGGTATTTACCTCAGGCATGAGAACAGAAAAGCAAGTCAAGACAAAATTCTCACCCTTTGGGTCTATGGCGTGTTTCCTGCGTGGTTCGTTCTATGTTGTGCGTCGATAGAGGTAGGCGTTGAGGTGACACTGTAGTTTGTGTCTTGCTGTAGTCCACGCGCACGCGCACGCCCGGCTTCTGGGTTCGGCGAAGGGCAGGTTTGCTGCAGAGATTGGGTGGTATCTACGTCCGAAGTTGACGATCGGTGTTGAAGATAGCTATGTAAGCTTAGGGGTCAGCGTTATCTGCTAAACATATAAGCCCATGAAGATGTCTTACAGAAAGTTCACTTGTAAAAACGACAACAGACAACAAACTAAGTGGTTTGGAGAGTACAAATATGATTGGAATTCGAGTGCCTCATGTAAAGCCTTTTCATAAGATGTATACGCATGGCGTTGATGCCCGACAAAAGAGCAATGCGAACAAAATTCAGGTGGCGATGCACTGGGCTTTGACTACCCCACCTTCCGCTTGCGACATGACACGTGATTATCTCTAATTACGGCACGAGACTAACTACTTTTAGTCATCTTTGCCTTAGCTCCACTTAGTTATGATACGCTCCCTTCGCTTTAGCCCTCTTTCTTTTGGTATTCGTTTGGTATTCGTTTGGTATTCGTTTGGTATTCGTTTGGTATTCGTTTGGTATACGTCTGTTGTTCGCTTGGTATTCGTCTATTGTTCGCTTGGTGTTCGTCTGTTGTTCGCTTGGTCTTCATTCATTTGAGACAATACCCTATCCCCTAATTACTAATAACAAGTAAAAACACAGAAGCGGCTTGTAGTATGTGTATATCTTTGTTGTTTTCATTTGCATCAGCTCGCGGCTCAATAAAATTGCTGGTACGACTAGATGCTTTAGTTGATTTCCCGTTTTCTCACTGTCGAGCTATGGCCAAAGCTAATGTATAGGATAGTGCTCTCTAATAGTTAGAGTAAAGAGCGATCATCCTAGTACGCCTTCCCGCTATTGCAGGTATGCCAACAGCGAGCCGCATGATTCGGTAAAATGTCTAGGAGGTTATTGGAAGAGATCAGGATGGCGGTGTTGCATAGTTTCCAGCATGGATCCAAGTGTGATCTTAGGATATGCCACCTCTGTACATATGCGGATCTGCTGTAGCTTAAGCAGGAGCGCGGTTGTGACTGATCGACATCAAGCGCAGGCAGGGTTGTAGATGTTGATATAAAGCACGGTTACTAACTCGCAGTCCATGAGTACTTAAAATTGGCCATACTTATCTCGTTGCATTCTCTCATCTGCCTATCCTATCTTTAACACCTGCAGTGGCTAGCTCTTTGAGCCACGAAATAGTGCTCTTCGTACTTTTTGCCCCTTGTTTTCAGTGGCATTCATTGCACGTCTGTACAGACGCGTGTTAGCAACTCCAATCATAGCAGTGGTTGTGCCTGATAGGCTCTTCCGTTTGAGCTGATAGTCTACGAATAGCTCGTTTACTGTGAAGCGTACTGAAGGTAGGTCGCCCAATTAAAGGTACCCTGCCACTGACGGAACTAGCAATAACAATATCCATGCCTTCCTCTGAAAGTAACACAGAGTCCTCCGATTCTAACGCTCCTGATCGAAACGAAGAACGAACCGCGAATGGTATGGCTGGTAATAGGCCTAATTGTGGCTACGATGCCTGTACCGAGAACGATGGCGCTGAAAACCGTTCGATTTATTTGAGCGACCATATGTCACCCAACACCAATGTTGAACAGCAGAGGAGCACAAACGGTATCAACATGGAATCAGCTGGAAGTGGCAGACAGTCTAGCTGAGGTGTTAGTCTCTCAGAGTTTTTGGCATAAGTCTTGGCATTCTGTGGCATTGGCACGTGCTATGGAGCACGGGGCATGACGCTAGTTGGTCAAGTCAGGTTCGCCAGCGTGTTCGGCATAATGCCAACAAGGCTTCAATGTATTACCAAGTACATTAACCCTGTATCGATAATTCTAAGACCAAATATTTTTCCTCATGTCATTACACATGTATCTGCCCTCGCACTCAAAACTCGACGAGCGGGTTGCTGAGCTGAAACTTGGCGACCACGCGACGCTGAGTACTGCGTATTTCACCGTCCTTCGATACAAAGAAAATGAAACCCACAGAGCTGTAATTGACGAAATTCTTCAGTCTAGGGTATGCAATCGAGGGCGCCTCTGATAACAACGCTAATGATACGTAGTTGAGCGATATCAGCAATGCAGTAGGAAAGGGCTTGAGTCGTCCGTCTATGCAACCAGAGATCATGCGCAATATAGCTGGTTCCATCACCACCAAGCCAGGGGAAATTTTCGCTATTGTACCCGTTGTTCCAACGCCTGAGGGGTCTCAGGCGGCCACCATCTGTCTTTGGAAGAATAAGGCGGAGAAGGTAGCAAAACCGCTAGAGAGAGGAATACACCTTGTGCTTGAGGAGGTTTCCTTCTCGGTGTCAGATTCCGTTGATTTTTATGTCTTGCCATTTCAGTACAATCACTAGAATGAGAAGTAATGATGAAGATGACTCATAAGTTTGATAACCGTGTATGACTTTACATGATTTCCTGGTATTCCTGCATGAAGTCGCTCAAAAATAACCCATCTGCTACTGTTGGTTGCAGAGACTCGAGCTCTTCATCGCCTAGGCCTTGGCTCGGCAGATCTACATTATTTGAAGTCAAGTTGTCCGTTAGTCCGTCTGATAGCACACCAAGTTGAATAGATGAATGCTGTTGGCCAAACTTTGAGCGATGGAGATCAGTCACTAATGAAAGAGTTGATTGTGCGACAGATTCACCGCTGCCGTCATTCGATGCCTGATGTTCCTCCGTTGACACATTGCTCACTTCTTTAAAGGCAACACTAGGCACTGCCATGCTGCATTCTTCCGAAGCACCTGAGGCGACCGATGAGGATTGAAACTGCACTAGAGGCGAGAACCCGGTTGCATCAAAGCTCGCATGGTTGTGGCTACCATGTTGGAGCGAGTGAAGGATATCCGCTGCAAGGGTAATATCAGGGACTTCGTGCGCTCCATGAATATCAGGAAGAGTAGCTTGAAAACTAGGCGTGTGACCGCCCTGGTCATCTTTGAAATTGCTGTGCCGTTGCGCCTGAGTAGTGGACATGCCATGTCTTGAAGTTTTCCGTCGTTTAGTAGCATTTGTACTTGTTTCGATAGAATCTTCAAGTGATGTAACACCATTACCACATTCGTATAGTATTGACGGTTGCGGAGTATAGAAAACTGCAGGACTCCGGTCTTGATCTTGAACAGATTCTACACAGTTAGATAATGGCCTAAGGATTATTCATGTGAAACACGGCTTACTATATTTTGCATGCAGGTCTTGGAATATCCTTCGAACTGGCTCCGAGTATGTCTCTGATTCTTCAATCAGCTCCTTACTTAGCCAGCTAAACTCATTTACAGATGGATATCTTTGGTTCTTCCATAGAGTATCGTACCTAATGACGTCAGACGAGAAATTCAAACGAAAACTAGAACACATACTCAGTCGTTGATATGAACTCAGAGGCTGTGATAACCAAACCAGGGGACAGACGGAATAACAGGCAGATGATGTTACCCTGGATTATGTATCTTTGGATCTGCCTTCGCGTCGTATTCTTCAACTTTGATGTGAACTCTCCATATCCCGGCTCCAACGCCAAAACCATTTGTTTCTGGCGACGCGCAATGACCGTCGAATCCCCCCGTCCTGAGCCATTGTTCCACCAGGTAGCAAGACTCGCCTTGTGGAAAGGAAGCTGGAGGTTGCCATATTTTTCAGAAGCGACTACAGTTTTATACGACCATTGTTCGGGAGATGAAAAGTTCATGTGATCGAATAGATGGTGCCAATCTGAAAGGAACGCTTCCAAGCTCTTCTTGTCTTTCTGTTTCTTTGACTTCCATCCTGTCCAAATCTTGACCGAGAGGTTTTGACAAAAGTCTGTCAAGTATACGTCCAAATTTGGGGTTTCCAAGCTCTTCCTAGGTTCTTTGATACTCTGAATGTCTTTTCCGAAAAGAATTTCTGGCGTGTTGTTGTCCTCATCATGTTCTATATCATTTGCACTGCTATTTCCTGCAAACCGGAATATCGTTTCGCTCATACTGCTCTCAGACGGGGACGGCGCTGTTCGAATAGGCTTTTCTCCAATGGATTCGATCAAAATCCGCTTTTCTTTGATTATTCGATGCAACCAGATGATAATTGGCCCGTTTTCTGTCTGTATTGTGATCGAACCGTTGGAAGATACGCTGCAGTTGATTCCAGGGTTACTGGTGATGGTACACTCAAACTCCAGCGCTTCTGGCATCATAGGGACTCTCATGATCAAATGGAATGTAGTGAAGACAGTTCGGTTCGTTGTGTTCTGGTTGCTGTACGCTGCCGGCGCCAAGCAAAACCCGGACATGATGTCCGGTTTTTGCTTGGCAGCCAATCCTCGGCTACAGGACTTCTGTTTGCTCTTGCACGATCGTCTCTCCTAGCGCGTGATATGGCCCTGCTCGTGGCTTGTGCACTCTGTCGGTAGCGTGATACAGGGATGGCTCTCAATGGTTTCCCCACTTATCCTTTTGGGAAAACCTCACATGCGGTTTGAACGCCACAATAATTACTTTTCTGCAGCAGCCGCACAACTCACCGTGATGAACACTATTCCACCAAGTAAATAGCGTTAATCTCGGGGAAGTGGTCAAGCCTCAGGCGGACTAGCAAAGTTCTGCCGCGAATGTTGCGTATTCGCACCCTTCGCTGTCAGTTGTGCCACGAACGGCCCGGATTGAAATCACTTGTCGGGAGTTAGGGGCTCTTCCGTGTCCAGCCATACAGTTACTGACATGCCTATATATCACGTACCCTTCCTGCGAGGCTGAGAAGTCCTCATCCGGTACTTTACAGCGCTTGCAATCTGACCGGTTGCCTTCCCGCAGCGAGAGAAAATTCAACGCGTTATTGTACCCTGATTTGTTACTAGGATGGCTCGAGCTTCTACACCGGCGTGCCAGGTAAGTATTCCATTACTGTTTTCAAGCTTAAACGTCATAATAAGAATGGAACTAACCTCTTAGACTGATACCTCGTTCCAGCAACCACGTCAAGATGGCCATGTCATTCAGCCCACTTGTAAGACACTTCGTTCTCGAACTCTACTCGAAATATGATTAGAGATGAATGCTAATATATCAAAGCGAGAAAGAGCTACCAATGCGAGCTTTGTCCAAGATCCTTTCTCTGCCACGAACCATTGCAACACCATGCAAGCACGCATGACCACACTGTCCGATATGTTTATATGGAATGCAAGCAGCCGAAGCCAGACATCATTGCTTTACATGATGTTTATTGTCGTCGCAGAACCCACTATGTTCGAGTAACTACCTCGACACCCTTGGGACCCTTCTCTGCCATACAGCAGATAGACGAGATAGAGGAGTTGTCTTTTGAAGAATTCCTCAAAAGAGGTTTCAGTTCTACGGAAACACACAAAGAAACAGTGAGAAGGATGAAAGAGTTTGATAAGAGATGTTGCAGGCCGGTTCACGAAACAATCACAGTAAGGACCCCGGGACATTCATCCTTGAATGCAGAATCTGATTTTATACAGTTTATTACCAAGAAACTGGTAAGCAGGCTGTTATCATGCTTGCTATGGACTCCGGTCCCGGAACAGTCAAGGTCTAGTCGTTGGCCGAGCAGACCAGACACGATATCGAAGTCGCATTCTCAGTCAATCGAGACCCTGACGGCCAATGACAGACGTAGCCAGCATGCTGACGATCTAACCTTGACTGCAAGCTTGTCTAGCAGACTGGATACGAGATTGGAGTCGCCTTCTCAGTCAATTGGGGCCATCGCTGCCAACGACAAACGTAGCCAAGATGTTGACGATCCAGCCTCAACTGTAAGCTGGTCCACTCTCAAGTATACTGCTTCCGGCGAAATACTTATATGATCGCTTTTCCAGGCAAGGAATAGTCTTCCCAAGAATCTCACTGCAATCGTAGCTGTAGCTTCTTTCTACTCGACTGCTGATGGTGTTCACTGCCACAAAGTACTTGTCGCAACCCACTCAAACACTATAATCCTGTTAGGACTAGTGGATCTTGACGCGCTTCTTCGACACGCGGGCATCAAGAACCAACTACCACAGATTATTGGTGACTATGCCTACACAGAATTGCTGGAGTATAGAAAGAAGCGCATGAATATCGAGAATCCTGTTTATCAGGGCATTCTACCAGATGACTTGCCTATTGGAGTCGGCGAAGAAGTTCGATTGGAAGATTGCTCTCCAGTGCTTGAAGCGGAAGTTCGCTCTATTCTTGACTCATAAGTCACCTTGTAATATAGTTTTGTATTCCTCAGTATCACAGCGTGATATTTTATCCGCATCTTCTCTATGGTATCATATGCGGGTGTCCTCTAAGTACATTAGAAAGGTGATGTTCTAGATCGCTGCAAATCGATCATGCTTGTCAATCAATTGGACTATGTCATGATTGCAATTTTTGAGGTGACATACCGGCAATTTTGGTCCCGAGTATCTATTGAGAGGTATCAACGTGATAGATGATTGAGCCGGGCGGATATGAGGTCAATGTGGGAAAGGTGGCGTATCCGTGCCGATGTGGGCAATGAGTTGCTTTTCTACTCAACAAATTGGCAATAGACTTTGTTTGATAGCTCTAGACGACTGATCTTGCATACGTGCCGGCATTAGCTTCCACTTTCATAAATCGCACTTGCTCCGGATTTCTGACAATGTTGGCTATCGTCAGTTGCTACTACTTAACCACTCTTGGTCTTCTGAGTTCATCCAAACGCTTCTCGACGTTCTCACAGAGTATTGCCCTTCGAAGGCTCCACAGTTTAGCTCTATCATAGCCTCAGTCTTTCAGCGAGATGTCCCTTCTACCCGCTCCAGATGCACGAGATCAGAACTCGAGTTCCGCCAATGAGGAACCGTTCAGAACCTCCAAGGCTCGAGTTTCAGCAGCTTGTCAGGAATGTCGCAATCGCAAAGTTAGATGCGACGGTGCTCGTCCATGTATGGGATGTCAACATAACAGGATAGAGTGCGTGTATGGAGACACTAAACCATCCAAGTATGTTGCTATCAGTGGGCTTGTCGTTTTTTATTGACATTTTATAGACAGGAGAGAGCTTTAGTTCGCATACATGATACTCTGGCTATTATGTCCAAAGATCTTCGAGACGCACGCGGCGAAATAGAAAGGCTCAGCAGAGGCGATCCTCTCTCACATTTCGTACCACTTGATCTTGGACAAGAAAGTGGAGCAAAAGCGTTCTCGCGTGAAGAGCTACACCAGCTTTCTAAGTCTTACATCGAGCATGCGCATCCACTACATCCATTTTTCGACAAACCTCAGCATATGTGCAACGAATTCATCAATAACCCATTCTTGCAGAAAGGTATTATCAACCCGTGCCTAAGGAATGTCCATGTACTATTCTTTTTTGCATTGGGAAGCTGCCAATCAGTTGCCAAAAATACATGCCGCTCAAGTACCATGCCAGGCATAGCATATTACTCTTGCGCGAAAGCCATCCTCAAGTATAAACTTGGAGAGCGTAATATCCCCGTTGCGCAGGCCTTGACTCTGGCCGCACTCTACATGAACCAAAATGGGATGCTTCACGATAGCTTGACGTATCTTTGCAACGCTCGAGACATATACATAGACGTTGTCAAGACGTAAGATCCGTTATCACCATTTACAAGTCTAGGCTAACAGAACATAGTAATACGTCTCTCTCTGACGAGGCAAAGAGGAGTTTTTGGATTTATTGGGAGCTGACATGGTACGTTGCTAATATAAGTCTGCGTACTCTTTTAACTGTCTTTCTAGTGGTATCGACAACTACTCCAATTGGGCATCTGATCCTTTGCGCAACCACTTGAACACATTAGTTCCAGAGAAAAATGTGGAACGGTCTCCTGAAAGAGTTTACTGGAACAAAATAGCTCTCCGAATCCTACTTGATGGTTTGCGCGATTCTGCGCGTTTACATCTCTCAACAAAGATAGAAATGGATGAGAAGGATCTATGTGATTCGGTGCGCCCGCATCTCCCGACGGCGCCCCGATATGTCCCGACAACAAGGGAGATGGATGAAAAGGACCTGTGTGGTTTTGTACATCTCGCAAACGAGCACATCGGCATGTTGGAAGTATGGAGATCGAATTTAGTCCCACAATTGACCTGGAAAGATACAGAACCTCCATCAACTGACCCTATCAAAGCCTCACTACAAGCAGAATACTACGAGGGTGCGGCTGCACTGTTGAGGCCATACCTGGACATTGCAGTACATGCAATGCGTTATAATGCTGACTCTGTATCGAAAGAGTTATCGGAAGGACAGCAAGGGATTCTCAAAGTCCTCTTCGACTGGGAGAAACACGCTCTCTCAAGTATGGTCTGCTTTGACCGTGTTGGGACAGCTTCCGACAGCAAATACGAGATGTATCAAAGCACAGGTGGCAGCTCAGTAATATTAAGCAACCCCGTCAACACACTTCATGCGCAAGTTGCTCAATCGGTAACAGCCCATCTCTGATACTAACACTTTCCAGGAAATTCAAAAATGTCTTCCTTTTGCGCGCTCTTCGTTTCTCTGCAATTCATCCATGGATCGCTGAGCAAACAAGACTCACAGATGAGAAAGTGGATAAACTCCATCGCTACACTATCAAAAGCTTGTCTAGTTTTCGTGCAGGTCATCGAACCTTGACTCGAGATCTTGAGGCTTTGAATCGGCTTCAGTCACTAGGAGACTCAGTGCCGTGGATGGACCTAGTTTCAGCGTATGAGTAGTCCTAGAACGGAAAATGCCAGGTATGCCTATATTCTCAGGTACTTCTTGCTTTGAAGCTAAGCTAAGTCTTACACAATCTCATTCTGTTACCTTATTTTGCCTCACGAAATACCAAGAGCCCGGCTATAGCAAACGCTATTGATGAACCTATACATACGAGTCCCATGGTCGAAAAACAAAAAGAGTTCACATCCCAGGTGTCGCTGATATAATACTGTCGTGGTCGGGGCGTGATTAGCAAGACTTTTACAAGATAGAACGTACCTAAAAGGTCTTCTATTTAGCAACAATCTCACTAGAGGAGAGGCCAAGGAAACCGTTACGAGACAGAAAGTAACCTTATGAATCTGCACGAGTATTTAATTAATCGAGCCAAGGGCCGTTTTTTTCTAGCCTTGCGGCAATTTAATTGGGCCTTGCAATAGCGCATCTAATTGCCATATCCGAGAGTATATATTCATCCCATATGGGAAACACGCAAACTCTACAGCTCCCGCATCCTAATCTATTGATATGGCGAACAACACCCCTAACATTAGAGCCGCGCTACAGACTATCAGTCAAGCGTCCATTGAGTCGCTCGTACCACACATCTTGGAGCTATGCGAAGCTAATGCTGCTATTGCAAAGGCTATCTCATCTCTTAGTCAAAATTTTTGCGGGCAACTCGAAACTCCAGCTAACGAGTTAGCAACGCCAGGAAACACTGACCTTACAAGTTCTCAGGCTCAGGCTCAGCCTCCAGCCATCTTGAGAGACAATACTTGGCAGGATAAGTCACAGGGAATGCTGCAGCAGTACAGGTCTCGCCGTGGCCGACCAGAAAATGCAATTGTGAGGCTTGCACAGTACTGGATTCAGAGAAGACTGGCAGGAACTTGTGTGTTGAATGTCGTAGATGAACAAGGGGTATTAGATGATTTACGCAAGGCTGTAATTTCAAGTACTCCTGCGTTTATAGCACTAGTAAGAAGTATCAAGAAAAGAAGGTCCGCTACCAACTCGCGACGCTAGAGAACGCGCGTACGGTAGCTACTTCAAGTCTTAAAATCGTTACTTTTGTTGTCTGTGCACATTATTAGCTTGGGAAATATGAACAAGCCAACGGATCTCCAAGGCTTTTCCCCCTCGGCGGCCACTGGAGCAGGCGCTGTGGCGTCGCATGGGCAAGGGTGCTGTGCAGGCCTTTCACCGCTGGCTCAACGCCTGAATTGGTTGCCTACTTCTGCCTGGCTTAGCTCTAAGCCCCTGATTATCGCGCCCCATGATAAAAAATATCTCGGATAAATTAACACATGTTGTAATGTCAATCCTCGCGTGCCGGGACGCCCGGTGTAACGGGACGCTTTTTCTTCCGGACGCCCGGCATGCTCACAAGATATATGTAAATTGGCCGGTTCAATGTGCATATATACTCTAGCACTAGTCCTTCTACTGCATCCCCATCCGACATCAGAGAGCGCGTTGCTAACTGTGCTGTCGCTTTTTTTGTTAGTGCTGTCGACTAACCCTCTCTAAGAACCCCCCTGCTTGTTTGCGGCTATGTAAATTCGCCAAGAGCTCGGCAGGTCAGAGAGCGAGCTAAGAAGGCGAAGATGAAGACTCTTGCCCTAGAAAGTCAATTTAAGGCATGGAGTGTGCAGTCCGGCAATTTCTCCGCGCGAACGGTAGAATCGTCACAACGCAGCTGCCTGGCCGTGCGTCTTAGGCGAGCTTTCAGCTACAGCAGCGTGCTGAGATGTCTGCATCTCTTACTGCGCACTGTGGCTGGGGGTTGTAGCGCTGGAAGTGATATTTCGGGCTGCTATTATTCCCGACGCTACAAGTAACTAATCATAGCATATTCTTGAGTTCCCAATCTCCAGTGCGCGCAACCCTTATTATGCGAAGCTACTAAGTACTTTGGTATAATAATAACTATAGTTACTTTAACCGAAACAAACTTGCTATGCTGCTAAATGCACTAATAAGGTAAAAGAGGAAGGCAGGTTTACTTGCTCTTGCACAAAGCCATGCATCGAGCTAAGTTAGATAGTTACTTAAATACTAGTCGCTTGGCTTCTCCTATGCTTCGACCTCTCTATCTGAAACTTGCTAGTCAAGACTGCTTACACGACAAAAGCACTTCGCTATGGTGTTGGCGACATGCTCGGGTAGTAGAGTGGTGCTCTCCAAGGACAACGCTGTACCCATCACACGCCCTGTTGTACAGATTAAGAGATTCCTTGTAGTCACAGAGCGTCGCAAGCATGTGAGCAAGGCAGTACACGCTAGAAAGCGTGTCGGGGTGCTCGCGCCCAAGCACCTCCTCTCTTACTTACAGCGCTCGTCGATGCATCGCTTCTGCCTCCTCGTACTTGCCCTGCCTC